GCCGCATGTTCGCCTCCAGTGGCCTACTCACTTGGCGTTGGGAAAGCAGGCCTCATTGGCCGAGCGGGCGCTGCTCCGCTGCAGCAACAGGTTCGAGGGCTGTAGACCCGAAGGGACCGGCGTCTGGCAGGCAGGATTCATCAGCAGACCCGATTGATGACACTCCAGAGGGCCGACTTCAGCCGCGGCTGCAAGGGGGCACTGTTGATGCCGGTCTCTCAGGGCGTCGGCGGCTTGTCCGCCTGTGGTACAGCAGATCGAGGCCATTTGTGGTGGACTTCGTGTCTGACGAGCGGAGGGATGAGGCAGAAAGATGGCGGCCGATTGTTGGTACGATTGGTAGGCGTGACCAGAGCCGAGTCCGGCCTGCGGCGAGTGAGACGAGGAGAAGGAGACGGCGCAGTTGTTCGAGGCCGAAGTGGACTGCGTTGGCAGACTCGACAGCGGACTTTGCGAGAAGACAGACGGCGTCAGTCCAGACGGACAAGAGTAGGCCAGTTCTGAGCGCGCGTCTTGGGGGGCCTGAAACTCCCGGTACCAAGAGGCGGGCAGGACGCCGGACTTCGGCTCACCTGGCAACTTGTTGGCCGCCACGGCAGCCGCTGCTGCCGCCACAGCCGCGGCTCCGACGACTGCGGCCAGACTAACCAATTGCTGTTGTTGCTGCTGCTGATGCTGATGATGCTGTTGCTGAGGCGGGTGTTGGTGCTGATGTTGCTGGTCCGAGGGGGACAGAAGCGCCAGATGAGGCTGTACATCGTCGGTCCATGAGGCGTCGAGGCGACAGGGCGTCTGTGCACAGTTGTCTGGTGTGATTGGAGTGTTGCCGAGTCCGGCTGTATCGGCGACTTCTGGGTTGCAGATGTACCGATGGCCGCCGGTTGCCGCAAGCCGCTGCGTATCCAGGCAACAGTGACCGGCCCGGCCCAACTGGCCAGGGTAGACCGAGGCCGGATTGGACGAAAAGACGCCCAACGAGAAGACTTCGCTTCCGAATCCCTGAGGACTTGGAGCAGAACAGGAGCCGGAGCCGGTGAGACTGAGCGCCAATCCAGCCATG